CTTGGATACAAGAATTTAAAGCTACTTGTTCCTTTCTCAACATTTCCTGATGTGCGAAGCATAGTGCTTTTGGAGAAAGTGAGATAAGCCGAGCATGGTCTCTGCCTACAATTCAACAAGTATTTCTTGATCATCTATTATGTACCAGGCACCAAACAGGATACTGTGTTATTACAGATGGCTAAGCGTGCTCTTGACCTTCAAGGAGCATCTGCCTCCCCACCCCATCCTGCCTTTCTAAAAATAAATGGTTATCTATACACCTATACTAACCTTGGTCTTGAATCAGGTCACAAGACACTTCAAGGAAGGACCATTCTTGCGTTCCTCCTGGACACCGAGCTGAACTTACCTCTGTGTTACCCAACAGAATGAGAATGTGCTGAGAAGCCAGTTGCTGTGATCACCAATCTCATCAAAGGGAATCAAAACAGGGGGAGAGCCCATGGTGGTCATACGACACATCTGCTGATTTAATTTATACCCACTCAACCCTCAGGGGCCTTAAGGGGCAGAACCCAGTCACCGACGTTTTAGCACCTTATACAGAGCATAATGGAAAGCAGGCAAAGTGCCTGCTTGATGAATTACAGAAAGAAAATCTAATCCCTAGCCTTAGCCGTGGATGTATGCTCCAAAATGGAGAGAAGATCCAACATATTTGATATAGACTACTGTTCAACTCAGTGATTTTTTTTTTTTTTAATTACAGACTAGAAATATAGAAATCAATTTTAATTCTCCCTGGTCCAGACAGCATCATTCGCTGTCCAGTGTTTTCAGGTTCTATCCACAAACTCAGGGGAAGAGGCCAACTATTAATTGGCCCCTGGCAGGGAGCAGAATATAAACGTGCATTGCTGACGTGCTTTGTTCTGTTTGCCAAACTCTGTGTGTACATGCGGGAGCAATCTCTCTGCCTGAAGTATCCCCAGTATTCATTCTTCCCTGGATCGATCCGACCAACAGCCAACTTATTTCAGCTTTGTCAAAGAGGCTAAACATAGAGAAGATTCTCAAAGCACATAGAGTGCTTTCTAATACAAACTGTGATTTTCAAAATGCCACACAGAAAAGCCCCATTACACATCAAGACTATAGGATTTCCTAGTAAATTACCATTCTACCAGAATCCACTGTAGCAGAAAATGCCTCAAGAATAAAGCGTCCGGAGCTTTACTCAGATCGGATATGGAGTCTGGAGATAAATAGCAATCTCGATCATTCTACTCCCATCCTTGGGGCTCATGCTGAGAGACCAAGTTACCAAGAGACCACACAATGAAGTCATTTTGATCTTGATTCCAATGGCCCAGTGGCCACTTCTGTGGACAGAACAGCTCCATCTGTGACCCTGTCAGCCCCTGTCTGCCGAGAAGTGACGGGGGAGGGTGAGCGGGGAATCAAGCACGAGCAAGAGCCCGAAGACAGACGCGGTCTCTGCTCCCCAGAATCCGTGCAGAGGATCGGGAGAATGGAACTAAGTAGTGGGTTAAAGTTACGATGAGCATGAGTGACGACTTCAAAAGTAAACCTCTCTCACTTTCTTGGGGAAACTCTTCTCTTTTGGTTAGCCTCACCTGGGGCCAGACCTTTGGCCACTGAAACCGTATAAACCGGTCTTAGTTCTTATTCACCTGAGTGCTCTCACTCCTCCTCTGAGTTCAGGCCTCTCATCCTAATTTGGGGTTTTTCTGTGAAATTCCTGTCCACACCCATCAGAGGAGTCTCCCTCAACTGACCTTGTCACTCAAAAGCCGAAGTCTTTTAAAAAAGGGTTGGCATCGGCAATGAAATAAAAGGCAGAAATAAATTTGATTCTTCTGCATCTTAATTACTTCCCCAGGCACTGCCGCTCTCAAGAAACTCCCTTTAAGTCTTGAACGTGACATTGAAACTAAGAAGTCCACACTTGTTTCCCCGTAGGTTTTAGCCTCCTAGCCAGCAGGACTTGTCAACCCTCACCTCCGAACTCTGCCCTAAGTTGGGGCACTAAATTGACCCAGAGACTCGGTGAGGTCCGTCAGTCTAAGCTGGTGAGCCCGAACGTGTAGGTGGATCCTTGGTGGCCCCAGACCGTGCCTCATCCGCCAGGAGGTACACTGGGTGCGCTTAAACACCTCTGAAGGGTATGAAATGGGCACTGAGAGCCTCTGTCCTTCATGGCATTACAGCAGATGTTTTCCAGAACCCTAATGGGAGCTTACAGAGGACGGTATCTCAGACAGAGAAGCTACTGCCAAACATCCAAAACAACACCATAGGAAAGCCACGTCATTCTCAACATCATTTTTTTTTTTTTTTTAACTCCAAGCCACAGTCAGTTTTGTAAAGCAGGACCATTAGGCAAACCAGAAAAATGATTCTTTGTTCTCCCATAATAGCCCAAGAAAGCGGAAGGATTTAAGTGCATATAAGTGAAAAGTAACACTGTCCTGCATGAAACAACCCCTTTCTCCAGAGCGTTGAGTGTACCTAATACGCGTCATGAGAGTCGCTATTTTTGTTTGCGGGTGAGGCTGATTCTTTGAAATAGGACACACAGATGGGCCGTGCAAAGAAACTGAGTTAATCTTCAATGTCATTCAAAGACCTTCTAACATTTTCCATCTTGGAAAATTGACATCAGCCTGCCATAGTTACCAGTGTGGTACTGGTACTGGTCCTGGACCAACTGTGGGCTGTATTCCCATGAATAGTCCAATTTGCCATCACCCTGGCCTGCTGGATTCGAAGGCTGTGGGTTTCTGGCACCTTCCTCAGAGGGATTCAGTAAGTACTGAGTTCCAGAATTAAAGGTCAGCTTATGGTCCCAAGCCCACCCTCATCTCCTCACGAGGCAGATGTGATGATTCAAGAGATGTCAGTAATGCTTAAAACATCTTCCCCAAATGAAAATATATATGAGTTTGTTTTATTTTAAATAGTGCCAGGTGCTCTTTGCTCTTTTCTGGGTTCCCTTAAGCTAATTTTATTTCCCAGATTTTTTTTCCCCAAAAGTCCTGAAAATAAGACCTTTTTTGGTTTGCTTGGTTTTTTGTTTGTTTGTTCTTAAGAGTTGGAACCCAGAACCTCTGAGAGTCCCACCTGGTTTGAGCTATACATATAATCCAATGGTTTTATCATAACAAACTGGGCCAAAAAACTCTGATCTCAACCCAGACGCTAATGCAAACCCTACCTGAGTCAGGCTGCTGTGGTGACTGGGGTTCCTCCAAGCCCTTAATTCTTCCATGAGAAAGGTTTAGTTTCTTCCCCAAGGAACTAGGCGGTGTTCAGGTGGTAGACCTAGGAGTGGGCCAGGAGGTTCCCATAGGGTACAGGTGTCCCTGTACAGACAATAGCTCCAGGGGGCCCTTGCCTGCATAATAATTAACCCCTCTACTGGAGTCTGTTCCTCTCACTTGAGTCTTTCAACAACAGGGTGTTATAAAAGCATTGTTATTCCCATCCAGTTTTAGGGAGACTCAGTCACGGTAAGTGGCTTGCTCAAGATCACTTAGCCCATAGCTAAAACAGCTGCAGTATAAACTTGATTTTCTGATCAAGTTCAAAGCCCATGCTTCCCACTAACCTACCCAGGCCTGAGGCAGATAGAGCCAATGCCCATGTTTTACTCTCATGCCTTGTTCACTTCCTACACCACCTGCTGAAGTGCCCTATGTGTTTAGGAGCAGAGTCGGCCAGATAAAACTATGTGACCTTGGCAGGTGACTTCAGCTCCTCCTATCTCCGTTTTGTCTTCTGTAAATTGGGGATGGTAATTCCTACCTCCTGGGGCTGTTCTGAGGATCAAATGAATTAATAGGTCTAATTCCCTTAGATCCACAACGGGCCCATAGTGAACGCCATATAAATGGGAGCTATTCTTAGCTGCTGGATCCCTCATTCACTCGGGAAGTTAAAAACTGTAGCCAAAAGGAGTCTGCAAATCACCTGAGGATCTGGAGGATGTCTACGCCACATGGCAGGTGGCCAGTGCAATACCAGAACAAAGCAGTGGTCACGGAAAGAGCCCATGTTAGAGAGCATCACAGCCTGAGATGCCTTGATGTTCAAAGTCAAGTGTCACAGCTGCATGTCTCTGTGGTCAGCTCCCTGCTTCTGACAACAGCCCGGAGGCACATGAGCTGAAACAGAATCCCTGGAAACGACACAACTAGAAAAAGTCTGTTGGAAAGGCTGTCACTTAAAAAACAAAAACAAAAAACACACAGCAGGTTTCTCCTTTCCCTGATAGGAATCCATTTTGCTGGAATGAGAGGGAAATTTCTCCCCCCACCCCCCAGAATTTAAATTCCAGGCACAACGCAATACCTTTAAAAAGGCACTTATTTTTCTTGGGCCTTTAAAAGGTACTTTAAACTGGCAGGACACAGCAGTGAAGCAATGGAGAAAGCTGTTGATTTCAGCATACGCTAAAACGAACTCCTTTCTCCCTCCCCTGCCCCCCCCCCCCGGGTAAAAACCCACATCTGAAGGTTACTAACCACGTGCAGAGCCTCCTACTACCCTGCTCTTGGCTCCAAGGCCTAACTGTTTCTGGAGCACACATTTGGCAGTGCCCGTGGGCCTCCCCGTCTCTTTGCCTCTCCAAATGCCGCAGCACAGCCTTCCCTGGCCTTCTTTTGCGTGTCTAAATAAATGGCGAATCTCAGCGTTTGCCCGAGAAAGCCTGCTAGGTAGACTTCAGAGAGACGGGGAGGAAAAGGGTACCAGCTTCAACAACTCTTGAGCACCAGGAGAGAGGAACAGCTTGGCAGTGCTTCTTGGAAAGAGTCACTTCAAAAAGCCAATCCCGGGCAGGGCACCGCTTGTGGGCTTATTTGCTAAGCACGAACACGAACAACCCAGAACTTACATAAAGGCACAAGGGCCTTTGGCCAGACACTGGTGCCCAGAGCGCAGGACTCAGGGCTTGGGACTGAGGGCTTTCGGTAGAGGGCAACAGCAAAGGTTTCTGGAAGGGCCCCGAGTTACACACAGACCATCATACTCACCGCGACTTCGGAGGCGGCGGCGGAGGCGAGAATGCCTCAACCCCACTTCTGTCCTTGGGGAACTCAAAGGCAAAAGAAGCCGATTTGCTCATCCCGGTCCCAACTTTGCTGCTTTGCCCAGAGCAGCCGTCGGTGGGGCGGAGACAGTGCCAGGCGGAGGAGTTGGAGGGGTCTGCGGTGCTGTTTTCCATCTCTCTTCCCCAGCTTTGACTCAGCAACTCCTGTTCCACCTCCTCCTCTTCCTCTATCCGGCACTGACGGCTCCAGGCCCCCGTCTGGTACCGGGGCCTCCTCTGGTCCAAGGCTGAGGCGGTGGCAGCTGGGGGGTGGCACCGGACAGAGTCACCGGCGGCAACGCTGTTCGCCCGGCAGGAAGAAGCAGAGTCACTGGGGCCCCTGGAGGAAGTCTGGGGCCCCGTACCACCAGCGGAGCTCCCCTCGCTGAGGTCAGACAGTGGGGAAGCAGAGGGTGACACCGGGGACCCTCCAGGGCTACTCTTGGACAGCTTGGGGGGAATGGCAGGCTTCCCCTTGGGCGTGTTCTCACTCGCGTCGGGACGGTGGCTTTCTCTGGAGCTCAGCCCCTGCCCAGCTGAAGCCTCCTCTTCACCTGCCTCAGAGTCCTGGCTCACAGGCCCACGTGGCCACTGGACCCCCACGGCGGAGTCGGGGCTGCTCAGGTAGATTGTCCGGTGGTCCTCTTCTGGATGGGCTGCCAGGACTGTGATGGTGGCTGCCACCTGGGGAGCCATATCTGGGCCTTCCCTGTCCCGGCCCCAGCCAGACGCTGCCTTCTGAGCCCGGGCGTTAGCTGTCCGTACCTGGCCCTGGCCCCGAGCAGCTGCGGCCTGTTCTGCTGTGGCCTGTGGCTTGGAAGGTGCTGGAACTGCCTTCTTCCTCTTGGTGCTCTCAGCATAGATGGGTTCAGGCTGTACCGCCTCCCTGGGGTGGGCTGGAGGCTGGGGCTCCCCTGTCAGTCCAAGGCGCCTGTTAGAGGTCAGCACGTGGCAGCCTGAGTCCTGCTGCTTCCCTGGCACAGGCTCCTTCACGAGGGAGCAGTAATCACTCTCAAGATGCGGGGTGAAGGGGCTGCTGGCCCCACTGCTGGCACTCCCACAGGAGAGGCCATCCGAAGAACTGGCGGCCTCTGAGGGAAGGAACAGCTTCTTGGGACCCAGGCGGGGCGGGTTCTCAGCCGGGCCCTGGCTACAGCACTCCCTTGGGAAGCTCAGAACCTGCTTCTCCTCCTCCGGGGGGCCCCCACACACGCCCTGCTCCCAGCACAGTGGTGAGCGGTCCCCTCTGCCAGGTCCACCCCGAGAACTCTCAGCCTGTGAGGTGGCCGTGGCAACGGGGCTCCCGGGGCAACAGTCCAGGATGGAGCAATATTCTCCCCCTTCGCTGTCCCCTGAAGGTGAGCACCTCTGATCGCTGTCGTCCTCCGAAGGCAGGGACTCCCGCAGGGGCTGTGGAGAGGGGCAGGGCCCGGGGCCCTTGTGACAACCAGACGTCATGCCAGCAAAGGCAGCTACCTTCTGGCGGAAGCTCTCCTGAGCGGTCAGCTCTTGGTAGGGAAACATGGGTTTATCTTCTCGCCCAACCTTCTCACTGGAGAAACTCGCTGGGTGGAAGGCAGTGTTCCGCTGCCCCCGGGCCTCTAGGCTGTGCAGGCCCACCACGGCATAGGCCGGGGGGCAGCGAGCAAGGCCATCTGTGGAGGCAGAGGGCCCGGCCGGCTTCTGGGCACCACGGAAGCTGCCCAGGTAAACTAGCGGCACGTCGTCCTGCTTCGGGAGGGGGAGCTTGCCGGGGGCTCGTCTCCAGATGACCTACACAGCCCCAAGGTTAAAAGACTTACATTAGACCTTGTCAGAGAAAAAAGGAAGAGAGAAACCGTGAGAGGAGAGTGCCACGACATTGTCAACGGTCTTCCATGCTGCAGGGAGGGAGTCCTGCAGCACACCTACCTTCTGATCTCCCCACAGACTCTCTTCATTGCTGGGACCCCGCCTCCCCCCCCCGGGAGCCAGCGGTCTTCCCAGACACTGAGTTGCGTTTCCCACCCGGGGTCTGGCTGGCTTAAAGTCTGTGAGGTGGGGGCGGGGGGGGAGAAAAAAAAAACAAACATCTAAAAAAAGAATATTCTGCCTTCTCCCTCAAAATGGCCCAATGAGATAAATTCTCCTAAGAGCTTCGAAAACAGAGTGTTGAGTTTGGATGCATTTTTGTTTTACGTTTGTTAGTTGTCTTGATAACCATGTCACAGTACAATCCTGAAGAAACCAAAGTCATGGGGCTTTTTAAAACAGCTCGGGTGGGTGCTGGGGCAGGAGAGTGAGGGGTGGTTTCTGAGCTGGGTCCCCAGCTCCCTTGCCGCTCCCTGAGCCATACCAAAGAGCTACTCCCTCTCCAAGTTACAAGCAGTGACCTCAGCCCGAGCCTGCAGAAGTGGCTGGACTGGGGCGCCTGGGTGGCTCAGTTGGTTAAGCGACTGCCTTCGGCTCAGGTCATGATCCTGGAGTCCCGGGATCGAGTCCCACATCGGGCTCCCTGCTCGGCGGGGAGTCTGCTTCTCCCTCTGACCCTCTTCCCTCTCGTGCTCTCTATCTCTCATTCTCTCTCTCTCAAATAAATAAATAAAATCTTTAAAAAAAAAAAAAAGAAGTGGCTGGACTAGTTGAGCCCCAAGACAAAGATGTGGGTTGGTCATGGGACGCCTGGGTGGCTCAGTTGGTTAAGCATCCAACTCTTGATTTCTTGAGATCAAGCCCCATATCGGGCTCCATGCTAAGCACAGAGTCTTCTCTTTCTCCCTCTGCCCCTTCCCCCCCTGGTGCGCACTCTCTCTCTCTCTCTCTCTCTAAAATAAGTAAAATCGTAAGATGTGGACTGGTCATTCCCATCACTGAAGTCATGGTCCCCTGTCCTTCCCTTCTAAAGTCTCCCCCTACCCCAAAATTTTTAGAAGCAGCCTCAAAGTTGGGCCGGCATTCGCCTCCTTTCCAAGATGATTCCGAGCTGAGGGAGTCCCTAGCTTATGTCTGTAAAGACCGAAGGTACTGAGCACAGCCTGGTGCATAGGTGTAACCAGCTTATGACCAATGGAGCAGTTCTGGAGGAACATGGAGCTAAGCGGAACCACAGGAAATGCCTCTCCTCAGTGAAGCCTCCTCTAATTTAAAACTGACCTCTGATTTCACATAGGCTCAAACAGCCTTCCTGATCCACTCAACATGATGGTTTAGAAAAACTAGAAGAGGCAAAACGGTCAAACAAGTTCTAAGCAGTTCTTAGATGTCCTAGACTTCCAGCTTCCTAGCCCCTGTCTAGAGGCAGCAGGCTCTACGTGCCCTCTAAATAACTGTACCTTTGTAAGGGGGACCTGTGCGATGAGCAGGACAGTCTAATCTGTAGGGATCTAACTGTCTCCGGTGATCCCAGGCCAAAGCTGCTAAAATCCAAGCTTCACAATTGGAAACATGAACCCCGGCTGGGAACCGGATATGAAGAAATTATTGCTAACACGTTAAGTGGGATCATGACATTGTGGTTCTCTTTTTTAGGAAGACTTTACTTTTTTAAAGACATGGGCAGAAATAACACGACGTCTGGGGTTTGCTTTAAAATCAGAGGGGGGGAGGGGGGGCTGGGGGCAAAAAGGAAGCAAGACGGGGTCGTGCGTTGATCTGTGGACACGGCATCTGTTTCGCAATCATTGCTACTCGTGTATGCATTTTAAACGATCGATGGAAAAACTTTAAAAACCTTTTTTAAAAAAACAAAAGCTGCATTTTTGTGTGCCTCCAGATATATAATTAAGACAATCTCTGATGCCACTGGAGGGACTGGACTGATGGTTCTCAGCCTGAAGGGACAGACGGACGGGAGGGCAGATAGGAAAGAAAGGCAGGAGTCAGGAAGGAACAGTCGTGGGGCAGGCTGCTGGGAGGCCGTCCCGGGGGAGCCATGCTCTAACAGCCCTCCCTGGCTGCCGGCCAGCCACCCAGTGTTACAACAAGAGCAGCCCCTGTAAAAATACCACTGGGGTTAGTCAGCCTCACCTGCGAGACGTCGGCACTCAGGTTCGCCTCTGTCCACACATCGGAGGTGTCGGGGCTCATCATGGTGGGCTTCACGGCGATGGTGGGCTTGGAGTAGGGCGAACCGTTCACGCCTTCATCTTCTAGGCGGCAGTTGTCAGGCCTGGGGGGCAGGCGAGGCGGAGGGGGCAGGTGGCCGGGCGCCGGCTGGTGGTCACTCCTCAAGCAGAAGCAGTTCTTGCAGGACCCAGGCTTCCAGATGTGCTCCACAAAGTCACTGCACGCAGACATCTTCGGGCTCTCAGGGTTCAGTCGGACGGTCTGGTGCATCTTGAGCCCACGGCGTGCTGGTTCATCTTGCGCTCGGCTCTCCGGCGTGGTCTTCTGGGAGGCAGATGTGGGTCGCAGAGCGGCTTCCCGGGACAGCAGAACACTGGGCCCATCAGAGAGCTGCCCGACCTGAGGATGGCCGCATTACCAGCGAGAGGCTGAGTATTTCAAGGGGGAGTAGTAGGTGCGGGAAGGAGGAAAGAAGAAGAAAAAGGTAGAGATTAGCATTCGGCGCATTCGGAGGCCCTCACCTATTTGTCTTAAGGCTCTTAGTCACTCTCCGGTGGTGCGGCCTTATCAGAAGCTGTGAAAACTAAACACAACTCTGTGACAGGAGTACCAAGCAGAGTGGGCATTTCAGTCCCCAGGGCTGAAGGGATCTAGAGCTTGGGACAAGAACTACAAAGTAGGAGAGCAAATAAAAAATGGTGATTTCCAGAGGGCAAGCCACAACTTTTCTTTTTTTTTTTAAGATTTTATTTATTTATTTGACAGAGAGAGAGACAGCGAGAGCAGGAACACAAGCAGGGGGAGTGGGAGAGGGAGAAGCAGGCTTCCTGCCGAGCAGGGGGCCCGATGCGGGGCTCGATCCCAGGACCCTGGGATCATGACCTGAGCCGAAAGCAGACGCTTAACGACTGAGCCACCCAGGTGCCCCCCCCTTTTTTTTTTTTAAGATTTTATTTATTTATTTGACAGAAGCCACAACTTTTCACCAAGGACGGTGTGAGCGGGCAGGTAGGCCTGGGCCCTGAGCCCAGCGCTAGAAGCCATACTTCTGGCCAGGGGGACACTTGATGGATGAGAAAGGGGAGAGATGTGGGGCCAGCCTGCCCATCAGGGGAACTGTGTCAGGAGGTCCGGCATCTTGAGAATCCGCCCTCCTCCCCTTACTGCATAGACGTTATTCAGCCGGGTGCTCGGTGAGGTCACCAGAGCCAGGGCTGTAGGCCAAGGAGGGGAAACAGAAAGAGAAATGCCTTATTACCACAACCCTCTGGTGTAAGGGTGGCCAGGTAAAATATAACAAAGGGAAGAGATTATCACGCGATTATTTTCCCTATGATAGCCCTGGGGGTAAGGCAGTCTGCTTGTTGCAAGAGTTGCCTCTGACAGTCCAATAGGGAGCAGAGAGTTTGCCCAGAGAACCTACTAAATTCACCTGTTGAAGATGAACTCAAAGGGTTGCAGATAATGAACCAATTAGCCTGAATAACACCCCGGCAGGTAGCTGTTATCGCCATTTTAGAGATGGAGAAACGATGGCAATGACATAACTAAGACCTGTCCAACAGACACAGGGAGTTTGGTGGTTGTAGAAGGCAAGGCCAACTGTGCTGGCAGCCCCTCAACTCATCACGTCATTCATTATACAGAGTGGCTGCCCATCACCTGTTTGCTGCTCGTCGTTCTTCTTTCCTCATTTAAATGAACTGACCTCCTCATAAGGAAAATGTTCATGAGAAAATCATCTCTGCAAACCTCAGGCGATCAGATTCTCATCAAAAAGGGAGCTTTGCCCTGGGGTTTGCTCTCCACTCTCCTCCAGTGAGAACTTGCTTTGCGGCTGATGCCCTCTAAACTATCAACAGGGCTAACCGGGTGGAGTGAGCCAGGAGCCCATTCCAGCATCTTTGTGGAGAGTGCTCTCTTTCCAGTGGCCCACACTCACAGACAGGGGTGCTTATTCAACAAGCACCGGAGCTAAATTTACCTCCTCTCCCTCCAAAGTTCACCGTGAAGCCACTGCATCCTGAAGCTAAATAAACACTCTGAGAAAAAGACAAGTGTTTGTCTTTCTGCAACGGTCGGTAGGGGCTTATGCATCCCTCTCTTTAAGATGATTGTGGGTTAGGTTCTTCTCCTCCCCTAAATACACCCAAGTAGCAGGTTCATGCCTCACCAAGTTCCCCAGAAGAGGTCACTAAGCTTCAACAAGCAGAGGAGGGTAGCAAGGATTTTTCTTCTTCCCACAGTCCTGAGCCACGGAGAGCTTTAGGCTCTGCTGCTAAATTTTGGGGGGAGGGGGAGTGGAAGAAGCACACTGGTATTCAGAAAGCAGGTGTCCACATCCCTGCCCCAAGGTGGGGAGTTGGTCCTTTCCTGGAGAGCTGTTGGAAAGAGAGGCTCCCCTTTACTGCAGGCAAAGGCTCCCAAGCTCCCTTGATGGGATGGGGAAAGAAAACTCAGAAACCTGTTCTGTGTGGGCCTTTCACGTTCCTGCAGCTCCTTATAAGGCTGAGCTCTCTGTGGAGGTGGGTGTCCAACCACTTCCTCACAGCTACCACAGACAAAGAGGCAGTCTGGAGTGGCCACCCTTCATTGCCTCCCCCAACAGGCAACCGAGAGCACAAACTTGTCATGTCTGCTTGGTGCCAGAGCGCCCCATTCTTTGTCCCCAATGGCCCACAACAGCCCCAGGACTTTGGGTCGGCTCTGGATGACTGAGGTATGGGAAGCCTCCTCCAGAACCCTCACCAGCTTATGCACACTCTCTCTGCTCCCATGCCCAGCTCTGAAATTCTCTGACGCAGGCACAGCTCTCCGCACGATGGTTCAGAGGGGCAAAGGTTTTTAGGGGAAGGCTTTGAATAAGAGAACAGAATGAAGCGCTAGCCTTCCACCACCATTGACTCACTGCATCCTGTTAAAACTGGTTTCTCAGTCACAGCAAACAGAATTTACCACCACGTCAAGCCAGAAAAGATGCTTTTCCAGTTCTGTCTAGAGAGCTCTATGCCTGGAATTATCTCCTATTTGTTTTCAGTGAGAGATGGTGAAAAACTCAAGTGGCACGCACAAAGCAGCAACAGTGCTTTGCCTACCAGTGCCAACTCTCCACAGCCTGGGAATGGTACCTTCCTGCCCACATCCTTTACCTCAGAGGGGAGGCAGCCCCCAGAATTATGCAAATTCCCCCATTTCAGTGGGAGGCAGCAGTGTAAGATTAGAAAAAGATCCCAGCATTCTTTCTGATCCAAGTCATGAAAAATAGCTTTGCCTCTGCAAACTTCACTAGAATTGTGGCTACAATTTGCAAGACTGAAGTTGTCAGACACACTCCCATCCCATTTAAAAAGAATCTGAAGAATGGTGGCCAGATCCATAAAACTAAACCTTTTGAAAAAAAAAAAAAAAAAAACTAAATCTTTTGGCTCAAAATGCCCCTCACACTTGCATCAAAGGTTGTTAATGCCTTACCCTGAAGGGATGGAATCCCAGAAAACACTCATCCAATAAATAAATATATATGTATGCATTGTTATATATATATATACATATATATATAAATTAATGCAACACTGAAAAAGAAAAGTACACATGGAAAATGTCTGGATTTCAATACTCCACTGGTAGGGGTTGCCCAGGCAGAAAGAACAAAGTGACAACCTCAACACACCTCCCCAACACCCGCCCAACACACACACACCCAGAGGGTGTCATGATATTCGCCCAACTTTTTATTTTATTTTTTCCTTCTCCAATGCAATGTAATCTAATCTCAGCAGTAGGAATGTGATTTTCATGGGTTAGACCTCCTACAGCCTAAACCAGTAAGGAGGATAGCCGAATTCCACAGGATCCCCTGATAACAAAGTAGCTGCAGAATTCCCCAGGGCTTCCTGTCAAATTTCCCTCTGAAAAAGGGAAAAAGGCTGCTACCATAGTTTGGGCCAGTGATCAATAAGGTCCGTGGAACCCGACTCTGCTCTGATCTCATTGCAAAACTCCTGGCCCGTAGACCTTTGGGCTTCCCTTTACAGCTCTGCAAAGCCATGCCCTCGCTGGCTGAGCTTTACCTGAGAAAAATAAACACATTTAGCCGGCCCTGCCTCCATTCCCATTTACAGGACCTGAAAGTGGAGAGGTTCTATTTTCTCAGTGTGTGAGTGTGTGTGTGTGTGTGTGTGTCCGGCTGGGGACACAAGCAGCACAAGCAAAGGTTAAGAACGTGCCCACAGTACGCCTTTCAGAGGGCTCAGCCAGGGCCCGAGAAAGGCATCATCTTGTTCCCTCTGGGAGCTCAGAGGCTGCCATCTAACTCGGGGCAACACAGGAGGCGGCTACCCTGGGGCCCCAAACCATCTCGCCCCCGGATCCCGGTCCTAGTAGCCCCGGCGGCCTCTCCCTCTCTGCTCCTTTGACAGTACTCCTGCCGCAGGAATGAAGTCTTCCCCACTAGCTAGCAACTCGCAAAGCGCTTCAGTCTCCTGCCCCAAACAGAACAGCAAGCCCAGCAAGCCCAGCTGAACAATCGGTTTCCCCTCCCCGAACTCGAAGGAAAGTTTCCCCCGTTTTAAAAAAGCGCGATTCTCCAAATGAATCGAAAACACCCCTCCGGCTCCCGTGTGCTCCAGGCTCAGCGCCTCCACCCTGGAGCACAACCCCGGGCGCACGCGGTCCGGACGCTCCACCCTCCGCCAGCGGCCGCCTGTCACCCCGGGGGACGCCGACAGGGGGGTCGCCCTCTCGGCGACCGCGGCGCTCCCCCGGAGCTCCCCTCCGCGGCCACGTTCGCCAAGACAAAAAGAGACTGGGTTTGGAGAAAGCGTCGCGCGGGCTCACCTCGGGGCCGCGCTCCCCCAGCCTCGCCGTCCGTCGCCTAGCCGCCAGCCGCCCCGCCGGGCGCCTCGGAGCATTGTTTGGAGAGTGAGAGCGCGCGGTGCGTGCCCGGCGGCGGGCGGGTGTCCTCTGCCGGGGCCGGGAGGCCGGGTGGCAGCTGCGAGCTCGGCTCCTCCCCCTCCGCCTCCGGTTACGCCGCGCGCCCAGGCCCTCGCCGCACCTCCGCAGTCCCCGCCGCCGCCGCCGCCGCCCCGCGACCCCGCGCCCCACCCCCCGACCAGGCCCGCGCGCCTCCGGCTCCCTGCCGGCGGGCTGCTGCTCTCCCGCCCCGAGCGCTCCAAACTCTCCCCGCCCCGCCCCTCCCCTCCCTCGCCCACCCGCCCGGCCTCTCTCGGCGGGGAGGCCCCGCCCCTCGCCCGGGACTGGGCGCCTTCCGACCCGCGAGCCGAGCCCGCACCTGCCCCCGCCCTAGAGGCGGCGATCGGTGCTCGCAGGCTTCCTCTGACCACAATGTC